AAACATCAATGATGAATGAGAATCACTGATTGGCTGCCTCCAGCACATCCACTACTGGGGATCGAGCTCACAACATGGGCATGTACCCTTGACTGGAATCAAACCTGGGACCCTTCAGGCCGCAGACCAATGCTCTATCCCCAGCACCAAACCAGCTAGGGCTGCAACCTGGCTTGTTGATACAGCAGCCAGCTTCCCGCAAAAGGCAGGGAAAGTATGCAGGTGTGGTTTGTGCGGCTATGAAATCTGTGGGGCAATGGCTTTACTCTGACCTGCAGGAGGCAGAGAGAATGAGCAATGTTCCCACACACCCTGCCCTCTGGCAGCGCCTGCCTGTGCTCAGGGGGCTTCAGGCTCTACTCCCTTCTCGGTGGGATTATGTTATTCTGCAGGGAGGCTTTGCCCAGTGAGGGGCCTCCCTGGGCAGGTGGTGTAACAGAAGGAAAAGCTCTCTCTGATTCTATCTTATTTCTAGCCTGCATTTCTCCCATGGCCTTCAGGTCATGCTCTAGGTATGCTAATTATTAGAGAAATTCTGCTGAAAGCTTGAACTTGTGGCAAAGATTTGTGGGAGCCTCAAGACCTAATGAGATGAGCAGAGGTCACTGGAGAACTGGGGGACAAAGAGAATCAGAGAGTTCTGTGCTCTTCCTTGGATCCCTGTGGGGGCCCAGGTGTCACACCCCTCTCGCCTGTTCTCCCTTCCCTTGACACGAAATAAGCCTGAATTCTGGGCTCTCGTGAGATGGATTTGTGGGAGCTTTAAGGCCCCTTCTTCTCCAGCTGGCGCCTTCTTGAGCAGTAAACCTTTTCTTCCTCCAAGCTCTGATGTTTTGAATATTGGCCTTTTTTGAAGCATTGGATGCATGAACTTTGAATCGGTAACAGTGCGACCCTAGAGATCTATAGAGGGGGAAGCACAAATTCCTAGGGAGCTGAGAATGCTACAGGCCATCTACACCCCCATTTTTGAGGGCCGTGATTGGGGCCACATTCACTGCAGGAGTGAAAACCAAGATACTCCAGTCTGCCCCCAGCACCCGGTTAGAGATGCAGAAATCCACTGTGAGCCCACTCATGGGATGGGTCAGTTCTGAAGAACTGACATGTAGCCGTATTCAAATTCACCAGAGCTTGAAGAGGAGAAGCTTACATATGTGGGCAAAGCAGCTGCTTGCCTGCAGTGGTGGCAGCCGGGGAGCAACCCACACCTTCCCAGGACAGCATTCCCCCGCCCCTCCCCCCTTTTTAAAAAATCCCCTCACAGGAAGATATGCTTTTTATAGATTTTTTTTATTCATTCATTTATGTAAATATGATTTTATTGATTTTTAGAGAGAAAGTAAGGGAGAGGGATAGAGAGATAGAAACATGGATTGGCTGCCCCCAGGATGCCCCAACTGGGGACCAAGCCTGTAAGTGGGGCATGTACCATGACCGGGAATCCATCATGGCCCCTGGTTCATACCCTGATGCTCAGCTATTGAGCCACACCATCAGCTGTGCAAAGTGTTGTGTGTGTTTTTTTTAATTCTTACCAGAGGATATGTTTTCATTGATTTTTTTTTTGAGACAAGAGAGAGGAAGAGAGAGAGAAACATCGATGTGAGAGCAAAACATTGTCTCCCATACACCCCAACCATAGATCAAATCTTTTGGTGAATAGGATGATGCTCCTACCAACTGATCCACCCCACCAGGGCAAGAATAGGAGGTTTTGCCCTCGCTGGTTTGGTTCAGTGGTTAGAGTGTCAACCCACAGGCTAAAGGGTCTGTGGTTCAATTCCTGGTTAAAGACATACCTCGGTTGCAGGCTCAATCCCTGGCTCAGGTCAGGGTGCTTGTGAGAGGCAATGAAGGGATGTGTTCTCTCACATGGACATTTCACTCTCTCTCCTCCCTCCCTCCCTTCCACTCTCTCTAAAAGGTGAGGATTTTTTAAAAATACAAAGAATATGAGGTTTTGCAGCTTTCACTCTCAAGCACCCCTGCGCCTTCCCGCCCTCTTTTCCCAGCGCCCTGTCCCTGGAGCCTTTCCCCCTCTCCTTACCCCGGGCAGGTATATCCTTGCTTTCTTTCTCCTAAGTCCCAAGGGCCCTTCTTTTGCTTCTGTAACTTGTTTCCTGAGCCCACACAGCCCAGCTGGCTCATTTCTTAGCTCACTTCTTTTACCTCTGCGACTTTCTAAATAAACAAACACACACAGGAATATGAGGTTTTAATCTTTCCAACACCAGAGAACAGGTCAGGCAATGATACCCTACAAAATCCAACTCTGGAAGCCTATCCAGCCCCTGTGTTGGCGAATCCCCCCTCCTGTTAGAGTGATCGAACCAGTTCCTTTTAGTTAAGCCCCTCTGACCCCCAAATGCCTTTCAAAATTATGCTTCATCTCT